CCTGCTCTCCCCGGGTCCCCGCTGTGATGCTGTGGCTTTGTCCCTCCTATGCTTCCAGCCTGACCCTCCTGTTAGTGTCATCCATAGTCTGCTGAACTGGGAGTAGAAAACACCTTTAGGAGTAGCAGCACAACTGAATTCTTTCTGCTTGGGCACTCTTTGCTCTGAATTGCTTGCTGGATCATTTTTTGCAAGTTAAAATCCGTTAGACATCTGCAGACAGGGGTGAGATTGCTCTGAGTCCTTGTCAGCTGTTCAGCCCTGCCTGCAGCAGTGGTGCTGTGCAGGAGCAGCTCCAGCCCTGTCCTGTTTGCGCCTCTCTTTCTCTCCAGCCTGCACACACCATAACCCGCCTGTCCCACTGCTGTCACCTCACCTGTGACAGGCTAGCAGGCCAAAGGACTTGTGCAGAATTGCTTCCCTGCTTAGCCTTGGAGTGCCAGCCAGAGATGCAGGGACTGCAGAACCAGTTGCAGCGGGATTGCTGCAGCACAGTTTGTGTTCCAGCTGCAGCTTGTAGGTGTGCAGAACCAGAAGGATCTGCAGTGGTGTAAAACTCAGAGTATTTCCAAAACTGAAGCCAGCTTAAAGTATCTGAAGGTGTTTTTTATTTTAATGCTTCAGAAGAACTCATCTGCAGCTATTGCCTGAAGGATCCCTGCGTTGTGCCAAAATGGAATGGGCTTGCTTATTCTTCAGGCTGTGTCTGCAGTGTTGGTGCAGAAGGAGAGGTTGAGTTGATGAATGTGAGAGTTAATTCCAGGCAATTCTCTTAAATCTCTTCTGGGGACACCCACTCAGAATGGAAGTGGCTTTAGTTTGGTTTGTCTTAATGAGAATTTTCTGCAGGCAAACCCTGAGGCTGCAATTAATCATGAGAGATGTAGGGATCTCTGTGTGTGCTCATGAAATGAATATGGTGACTGATTAATGCAGTAAGCAATTTAATCTTGGATTATTAAATCAGAAGTGAAGTAGCATCGTTGGGTTGGGCAGTGATGCTTTCAGAGTCCTGCAATGTGCTTTTCATATGGTTTGTTGCTATTAATATTGTCAGGACTATTTATTGTGCAACATTGCAGATTAACCTGCTTTGAAGGAAAAGCTGAAAGTAGCAGGAAAAAAGCCTGGTTTTTTTTTCCAAAGAAGATCTAAACCTTCTTTTTTTCAGTTTAATTCCTTTTCCATTTTTTGTTCTTAACCAAGAGTGCATTCTGTTCAAATGATGTATGAAGTCACTGCTGTCTCAGGGCTGGACTTACTCTATCTTATTAAAGGAGCTCATTTTGTGAACCACAAACATGACCCACGGAAATCATTGCTCAGCACTTCTTGTACGCTACATCAGCAGTAATTCCTTCTGGGACATCTCCTCCCCTCCAGATTATTTATGTGGCTCTTTGTGCTCTTGGAAAAGCAGGAGTTGAGAAGAAAACCACGTTTTCCTTAAATTCAGAGCTGTTGGTTTCCAAGCTCCCGTAGGAGATGGGAAGCAAAAGCTGTTAGGTGGAATTATTTTATATTAAAGAGCCTTCAGTCAAGATTCAGTGCAGGAATTGATGTTGTGGATTCAGGATGTTTAAATGGTTTTTATTTTGCTAATTAAGTTCGTAGAGCAAATGAAGTCGGGCAGTTGAGTGCAGGTTGGTGTTTGGGTCTCTGCTCACAGCCGAGTTCGTTTGTGCTCTCCTGTGGTGCCAGAGGGGTTCTGTGTGTCACACCTGTGTCACACCTGTGTCACACCTGTGTCACACCTGCAGCTCCCCGCTCTGCTGCTCCTCTCCTTCCACACCCCGCGGTTCTGCTCCTCCCCTTCCCGTGCTGTCGCCGCTCTGCTCCTGCCTCCCAGAGGGACAGACGGACAGACGGAGGGAGGGATTTTCGTGGCTCTGGGCTCCTCCTGGGGATGATGTGCTCCTGCTGGGATGCCCTGGCTGATGGAGAGCAGGGAATTCCCCCACGCCTCAGCTTCCTATTTCTGTATCCTGTGGGAATGTCCCGTTCTTTGTGCCCCTGCCTAACTTTAAGAATGGGAAATGCCCAGGAATTGCTGCAGGAGAGGCAGGGCAGTTGGTGCCACCAGGTGCCCAGGGCACGAGGATAATGGGATTTGTGCAGCTGCATTTCCAAAACTTTCGTGGCAGTTCAGGAAACAAATGAGTGTTTGGCCTCTGTGTGCAAATGAGTGCTTGGACAGGATGATTGTGCTGTCAGAAACAAATTCCTAGACCATCTTCTAAATTAGAAGCACAGAAACCTAAAAAGTATGCAGTGAAAAATAGTATTTAGAGTTCTGTTTATAATCATTAAATTGCATAAGTTAGTGATCTTTATTTGGGGAAGCAACAAAAGTCATCAGAACAAGATGAAAACTTGTGATTTACCAAGTAGTGTGATTGAAGCATGATTTCAGTAAGTTTCACATAAGTTTAATTTGTAAACAGACATGTTTACATCTACATTGTATTGATTTTGATTGATTTTGTGTAATTGCTTATGCAAAACTCTTTGGTGTTTTCTAGTATGAAGTACATCCACTGTGTATTGAATAAGGTTGTGGAAACATTTGGTCAGCTTTACAAATTAATTGGAAGAGGAATTGATGTAACAGTAGGGACTTGGCTAAAAATTCAGAATTTATGACAAATTACCAAGGTATTTTAGCCATGAGCATTCATTAGCTCATGGCTTTTGAGACAGCATGAAGCAGTTACAATTTATTCTGTATAGTAACCCATGTTTAGTGATGTTCTTATTTTTTCTGAAGAGAAAGTCTCTTTTGGCCCGAGTTCTGTGAAGAATTCTCCGAGCTCTGCTGGCTCTTGCTGCGTGCGCTGTTTTTTTGTAAACAACGCTTTTGCTTTGAAAAGCAGCTGGCTCACGTTTATTCCTTTAGTGACTTGAATATTGTGTTTGTACTATAAATGTCATCTGTTTTACACAGAGTTGATTTTATTGCAGCACTGTGTACTGACCTTTTACAGTTTAATAGAATATGGTCATTTGTGTACTGAAATGCTGCAGTGCACACAGCAGATGAGGATAAACAAAGTGCTGCTCTGGAGTCATTTGTAAAAGAGAAAAGCATTTTCAGAGCTAGGAATTAGAACTGATCATTAATAAATAGCATGTTTATAAGTATCCTATTGAAGTGATGTAGTCCATGTGATTGAAATGAGAGATTTTAGCAGCAGAACTCCGGGTTTGTGTGGCACAGCATGGTGGGGGTTTGTGTGCAGGTGTCATTTCTCTGGAGCAAGGGAGCAGAGGAGAGCAGCAGCACGGTTAAATCAGAGTGTTCACTTGAGGCAGAATCGCCCTCAAACCCCGAGTGTAGGTGGTGACTGTGACACCCGTGCCGTGTTTGCCCCTGGCTGTGGTGGGACCTTGTGTCCAGCTCCGCCCTCTGAGCCCCTCCCTCTGCGCTGTGCCTGGCTCACCGGCGCTGCAGTTTTTGCTTCATCTCAGGTTCAGCTCGGTTTGTACCTGCCGTGGTTTCCCTCACAGTTGTGGGCTCTCAGCCTGTGTTGTGCCTGGGTCACCGGGTGCTGCAGTTTTCCCTCA